GAGCGCACACTCGATGCCTTCCCCTCAGGAATACCCCTAAACCCTAAGCCCTAAAACCTAAACCCTGGAACCGGGAGGTGAGAGAGGGTCTCGCCTAGGGCGGGTCCTGGTGGTCTCGGCTAGGCTCTGCTTGCTGACGGCCAGATCTTTTGAAACCAAGATGTCAAACAAAAGCAGGTTTAGGGTTTAGGGGTTTAGGGTTTTTACCATGTAGGAACAAGGCGTTTGCAGGTATTCGTAAGAATTTACGACGAATGACGCATATATGATTCTAGACATTCAGTTTTGCAGGGTCCACTTGCTGGGAAGAGTGGTGGCCGTCTGCCAGAGCATGCTTCATGCGCTTCCAAGACCATAAAGTTGAAACAGGAGTTCAGCGCGAAGCGCTTATCTGAAAATAAGAATGAGCCATTCGCTGGCAGATGTAGTACCTGCCCGCTGCTCTGTACACATGGCACTAGGAAATGCCTAAATGATATTTGCTGGCTCCCGGAAAGGAGACCTGCAGGGTGGAAACCATGACAAGGAAAATCTCTACAGCGTCACTATGGATCGCTGTGAGATGTGCTGAGCAAGTCTGAAAGGTGTTGGCTTGGCATCATCGTGGAAAACATGCTGCCAACATCGCCACAGCGCAGTCGACGCAGCCAGAATTTCATGTCTTGCAGGCGCGTGCATGGCTGCGGCAAGACTGTATAGAAAAGAGTCATACCACCTACAAGGGACACTAGCTGGCAACACGCGACGTGAGCTGCGCTGTGGCACGAAGGGTTCTACGTGTCTGCAGCTGCACGCGACCTGCACAAGGGGGGTCACTGGCTCTATGGCTCCAGGATGGAAGGACTGAAGGAACACATCTTAGGCAGGGGCAGCCACTTCCTGCAAGAGGCGGGATGACAGTTTCGTACACAGATTTGATTTGGGACCAAGTAACATAACGTGAAGAAACTTTCACAGACCTCCATGGTCGCTCTTCGCCCAATAGCGGTACTTTACGCTGCCTGGCCAAAGCAGAAGATGGCGGCTTCTCGAAACCGGGAAAACCAGCGGTGTGTGGTGCGTTTCGGAGTCTTGGGCATCTAGGCACTTGCAAGTGGTCTTTCATGGTCTTTCCTTCTGGCTTCTCGTACAAGGAAGCAACAACAGAAACTATTGCACAGTCAGAAGCCATAAAGCTAACTTGACAGCAGCCCCGACGTGAAAGGTCGCTGTGGCCCGCAAGTTGACCAAGTCTGATCGGCAATGAAGGCCTGTCTGGTGGCCGCCACGACGGCACCGCCTGCTTTCACGCCGCAGCAATTCTTCATTCTTCACGACTCCACGGGACGCAGGAAAGTCATCTAGCTCACAGCAAGGGACTTCCACACCGAGGCCCGGTTTTCATGATGCCCACGTTTGAGAGAGGTCTCTGTGCATTTGCCAGCTAGAGGATGCCTCCTGCACAGCTGGTGGCCACGAGACCGCAGTCCCAGTCCACCCTTCCGATGCATCGGCCTCCGAAATGGGGAAGCTTTGCTAAAACTGGAAACTTCAAGAGTTCGCAGGAGTGCGTCCCACCTGCGACGTATGCCGCAACTCACTGACATCTGCAGAGTCAAAGACCTCACGCATGGACACAGGTTGATAGCATTCCTGCAATTCCTGCAACACTCAAGCAGTGCCGGCGTTGCCCGAGAGGCCTGGTCCTGGATGTCCTCGTCCGACGGAGATACGATGTCGACGCAGACAACGTCACCTGCGTGCACTGAGCTGTCCCTCAACCTCTGCCCAAACAGTTTGGGGCGCAGGAACCAAATTGTTGAAATCCAGTTCAAACAGCCTGGAGGGCACATGGATAAGGGTCATTGTCATTATTGTTAGTCTGGCTATATTGGGGTTATATGGGGATAATGGAAAAGAAAATGGAAACTACTATATTACAATAGGGTGTATGTTGGGGTTGTATTCTATGCTAGAAAAAATTCCAACTGGGTCAGGCAAAGCTGGACGGTTTGTATCGCTCTCAGCGCCCCACCACGGGATGCGCTGCCCTCAGCCGAGGAGCGGCCAAAGGCAGGATCCTTCCATGTCAGCTGCTCAAATTGAAATCGCTATCTACATACAAACATGCGTGCAAATAAATATAGATAGATATATATATATATATATGCTACGCCCCCAAAACCCACGGTTCAAACAAAAACCATGGCCTGCGCGGTGAAAAGTACGCTTTTGTGCCTTACTATTTCAGACCTCTAAATTTCTCCTCCTGTGTGCCTCCAACAAAACAGGAAATCGGAAGCTTCAGCTACTAATTCCAGAATTCCAGAATTCCAGATTTGCAAGGTTAAATGGTTCCAGATTTCCAGATTTGCATGACCAAATAATTCCAGAATTGCAGATTCCAGATTTGCAATGCCTAATAACTCCAGATTCGTAAATCTGGAGTTCTGGAATTTTTTGGCCTGGCAAATCTAGAATTCTGGAAGTCTGGAATTCTGCGATTCTGGAATTCTGGATTTCAGGAATTCTGGAATCAAACCAAAGCTCTTTCTGCAAAGTCTGAAATGTCTCTGCAAACTAGTACTGACTTAAAAATAGTCTTTACATAGTCCCAAACCAGACCCCTTGCAGCCTGCATAGGGTTTCCACATAGTCAGCCACTTCATAGATGAGGCGGCTGCTAATGCCGTCCTAAACACTGCCTCTCTAGTCCAAATGTAAACAAGCGTTTGACTACTCATAACATCCTACATCATATACGCCGATCCCGCGTAACTTATAAAACGATCTCCATGTATTTGTTCCATAAACCAGCAATGCTTACACAAGCCCCCTGAACAAGCTTTCTTGGATTCCAACACTACCTCACTTGGCTCTCATATGAGTTCGACAGAAACTCGCAAGCCTTATCTTTTTTATGCACATGAAATGGTACTTATTCAGAAAGCTTGCTAGAGATCCTCATAGTTCTAGTTTGTAGCAGGACATAAAGAGCCTGGTAAGATTCCCTTCCTAAGCAGAATTTTCAACAAAAAAGGAACCCCAGTAAAATTCTCATACACCACATGTTGGGACAGTACAGCACTTCTGGTATGCCAGGCTACACAAGGGTTGTTATTAGCAATTTGTGCTTAAATTTCAATTAGATTACGGGTCTCATGAGAGATTTTTGTTGAACATTTTCAGAAGACACACGTCAGACGTCCTCATTAATGTCTTTATCACAGATTCTTTGCTTTGAATCCTTGGTTGTTGGAAGTCTTGATTGGATCTGAGATGAATATTCACGTCGGGCTCTCAATAAAGGACCTTGTTCAAAAATCGTTGGCAAAGGTCCTTATCATTAGGAATCTGACACGAAGTTCCGACAATCAAGTCGTTTAAGAATCCACATTTGGAGCTTTTATTTGGCGTCCATCTGTAGTCTCGGGTGCCACTTTACCATTTTCTTTCCAATCTCCATCAAAGGTCCTAATAGGATTCCTACTTTACTGAGAGTCCCTCTTAGTCAAATCCATAGGGATCTTGGCTGATGAGCTTTACTGAGGCTTCTTATTGATGAGGGGTCCAGCTTTCATGTGAAGTGCGCATCAGAAAAGGAGTTTCATCTAAGTTCTTAGTACTCGATGTATTGGGAATCCTGATTGAAGAGTATCATTGACGCTGCGTACAAGGACACCTGGCTAGAGATCGTTATGTGAGCAGGGATTTATAAAGGAAGGCATCTAAATCGGCGTGCGTGTTAGGGACCTTCATGGAAGGTCCTCATGAAAGATGTGTGTGTGGAGTTCGCAGTAGCGTCCTTGTGGGAATTTGTAGTAAGGTGAAGCTTATGATGGATCTTTGCACGGAGTACTTGAGACAGAGAGGGTAAACATATGAAACATGTAGATTTGGATGAGAAAAATTCGAAATGTCGGCTCTGGGGGGTGGGTAAATCTAGAGAAAAAATGAAGTTTTGGGGCCGAGTTTCATCCCAGTGAAGTATCTCAGGGTCAATCAAAATGTGGGCTTTGGGGAGGAGGCTGCCATATATATATATATGTGGATCCCTATTATGATAGGGCACCTAATATTTAAGGCACCCAAAAAAGGACCACAATTTTGACAACCACCCATATATACATACATATGTATATGTAAATATGTTTCTAAACATGTCATATGCCCTCCTCTTTAAAGGCAAAATATTATCACCTTATGCAGAAGCTTCAAGATTTCCCCTGTCCTGTCTAGTCCGGCTCGGAGAAGCTGGACTCTCCTCAAAGGCTGCGGAGGAGGCGGAGGACTCCGACGACCAGGTCCCGTAGGGGTCGGGTACCTCCGTCGACGCGCAGGACAAGTAACTGACTGGTGGTAAGTACAAGGGCATATATATAGTCCCATATGTAAGCCCCTAAATCCTAAACCCTACATAATCTTCTATATATCCCCCTTAAAGGAATGAGGACTACAGATCATATAATCCCAGTATGATCCCTGTAGAATACATTCCCCTACTCTCTACGAACCCCCTGTAGGGTAAAGGGAAGCTCACCGCACTGAATAGGGCGCACATGGGACGGTCTCACCCAGGCCCAAGCACCACCATCACTATCCATCCCTGTCAGGGAATTCAGTCGGCATGGCTCACATAACTGAAAGTTTCCCTAAATTACTGTTCCCAAAATGGGGGAAATCTATATAGGGCCGCGTATTATAATAGGAACCTAAATATAGGACCCCGTATTGACGGTAATTTAGGACAATCCCCAACTATGTCTTGGAACTTTGAAGGACTAATTAAACAACTCCCATGGCCAGGCACCCACGTCTACAACATTCGCTGCCTGCAATCGCCGTTCGAAGCCGGGCAGGAAAAGCATCGAAAGCAGCCTCACCGGCCTGACCTCAAGGAGTAAAGGCCCAGAGAATCTTCAAGAAGCCCTATGTGGTCATTTGCGAACACCAGCCAAAGTGTGGTACCATGCGCACCTGAACAACCTACCTGGCTTTTAAGCAACGCACTCTCTGGCGTCAGTGCTTTGACAGGAGATGCACAATGCATGTCGGAATTGTCTCCCTCCTCGGTTGACGGCTGAGACAATGTGCAATCAGCGCTCTGTCACCTCTGCATCCGCAGCCAAGGTTCATCGAAGACCTCGTCGCTGAAATGGAAGGGCTTCGGCCAGTCGTCCTGAGAAGGCAAGTGGATGCGGAGCCCGCCATTGCATATCGCAGTCAATGCGCGAGCAAGGCCTCACTTTCGTGGATGCTTGTGAGGTTGGGCTCCACTTTCCGGGACCACGTCATGGTCCGGCCTTTGTGTCAGAGCCCTGAACCATCAAGTTGGGTTTTAGTGAATTCGATTGCGGGTTGTAGAAAATGGCGCCTCACCCAGTCTTAAGCCCTGGGCAGCAGGTTCCTTCAAGGACTCTGACACACTCGGTAGTTTCCCAAAATAGGGGGGCCCCAGTATAGACCCCAATATACTATAGTCCTCATTATGGGAACCCCTACAAATGTACCCTTGCCTTTGGAAAACCCACACCCCTAAACCAATATAACACCCATGTAACCCCTATAACCCCCTTTAAACGTACCCTTAAGTTTGGGAAACTATCCTTTTAGGCTATGTAAGTCCACGGCCTAAAGCATCTGAGCCGATGTTGAGTCTCAAGGTTCCCAGGCCTGGCATGCTTCCCAGCCCCCCGTAATCCTAAAGGATTACAAATGGAACCTCCCAATAATTCCTTAGATCCCCCCATGTAGTAATCGGGGTCATTTTGGGGGGTTCCATGTTTTGGATGATTTGGGGGGTCTGGGTTGGTGTGGCATGGCAAAACGTACTATCAAGAGCAAAACCTGCTGGATGATGACAGGAACCGTAACAATCAGAAGGCAATGGCCCTAAGCAATGGCAATAGAAACTCTGATGTTGGCAGCAGGAGTAACCATGAACGGTAGCAGAGGTCACAAATGAAAGTAGTGTACAGTAGTGAGTAGTGGTCACAACATATGACCGACCGCCAGCAATGGTGGCAGCAGGTACAATTAGTGATCATCAACTAAGCCCCTCCTCATCTGATCTGCAGGCGCAGAGCGTCTGGAACCCCCCTTTCCCACAAGCACCTAGATGAGATGCCCTGCCTTCATCATCGCGTTTAAGGTCTGAGGACCTCATTTATCAGTGTAAGTGACATCAGTAATACAGGCTGCCACTGTCGATTCACTAGCAGTATCCCCATTATCACTCTGATTGTTCTTTTAGTATGTGATCAGTGGATCATGTTGTTCTTACAAATCAATGTTCACCTTGGTAGCATCATCATGTCGGACTTGCACACTTCCCCGTGTGGCTCCCGGCTGTCTTGCGGGTGGTCTCTCACCAGGAATGTCGAACATGTCTAGCACAAGGTCCGACAAGGCCTACCAGGGTTTGAATCACGAAATAACAGCAACAAGACGGCACCTCAGAAACTGAGTTGTATGGGGTTTTAAGGGGTTTACATCCAGATGAAACGAGCTTTGAAGGGAGATCTATTGCTCTTTGTGCGCGTGCTTGTGGCAAAGAGATATTGCTGGAATGTGTTGGACGAAGGGTACATGGGCTCTCTCCAAAATTGCTTCATGACAGAATGACCTCTTTGCGGAAATCCAAAGTTGCTTTCGCAGACACCATTGCGAGCTTTCGCTGAAGCATGTTTGAATCAGAAACCAAGCCACGAACTCTCAAAAGAACCCTTGACCCAAGCCCTCAACTCCGAAACCGTGCCGGTAAGATGACAAAGCATACTGAGAAGGCGAAGTGGGGTTTCCCATGTCATGGGAATATGCAGGAATAGACTGCCTTGCGCCGGCCTCACTGTCGCTGTCGAAGCCTTTGTTGGAAGGCGTCGCACGAGTTGGTCGGACCGTATCGAAGACCTGGCCACCAGCAACCAGCACGGGACCAATGGTACAATCATAGTTGCCGGAGGTCTCCGTAGGAGAAACGACACACGTAGCAAGCAGCTCCAGAGTACAACCTGCCCTGCCTCATCCAGCAACGAACCTGGCAAGATAGACATTGCAAGCTGCTGTCGCTTTGCGGTCCTCACATGTCTCTTGCCTGGCAGGTCTTGTGACAAGTCGAACTCAAGCCCGTCGGCATCTTCACGCCATTTGCAACCTGCCCAACAAGCTTTGGCTGAGCTGGCTCCGCTGCTCGACCAACAGCCTTCCAAGCCGGCAGCCATGGGCTGGAACGGGCTGCTGGGTCTTCCCGACACACCGGAGCCGCCTACACTGAACTCACTCGAAGCATGTGCCGGTTAAAGGCGGAAAGACCCTTGCCTGTAGGCTGGTGGTCAGCATGACCCAGCTGCGCCGTTGCCTGACCGAGTTCTGAGCGGAGAACTGAAAGACTCACTTGTTCAGGAACTGGATGATAAGCACAAATGGTGTAAAGATTGCTGCTCAAACGTGCTTTGCCCAACGCCCAGCAGGCCATGCACTCCCCGCGGGCGTGCGCAGATCTCATCCCAAACGCTACCCACATGGATGGCTTGCAGAACTCGGACCCTATCACTCGTCCTTGGCGTACATACTTGATTTGCATACAAGCACACGAATGCGGCAGCAAAAATCAAAGACCCCGAACGTTGCCTCAAAGCATCTAGGAGTGTCAGGCCGTGTCACTGGCTCCTTCAAACAGCGGTTCGCCATTCAATATCTTCGACCACTCAGTATGTATAGACTAGCCGGAGGAGTGATGCGCAAACCAGCACTCTTGTTGCTGATGACCAGACCAGCCATAGGTGTAATAGGTGTAATAGCACTGGAACCAATGGAAAACACAAGCGCGACATGTATGAGAACACTTCTTGCAGCAGCAGCAGCAGCGGCGGCAGCCGCGGCGGCGGCAGCGGCGGCAGCGGCGGCAGCGGCGGCAGCGGCAGCGGCAGCGGCAGCAGCAGAGGCAGCAACCCAATAAAAACACAATTACAACCACAACCACGACAACAACAACAACAACCACCACCGCCGCCGCCGCC